TCCAAGTATCTAAGTCAAAATTTTGTCAAAATCACTCGGTGGTGGTATTTCATTATACATGTCTAAATTTACATCTTTTCTTGATGGTGATATCCAAAAATATTGGCGTTCACTTGATGGTGATATCTGAGTATTCAAGTAATTTATGTGCATCTTTTTTTCGATGGTAATATCTAAGATCTATTCGGTGGTGATATTCAAAGACATTTGCATTCACTTAGTGGTGATGTCTAAGTATCCAAGTAATTCATTTACATCTTTTTCTCGATAGTGATATTCAATATCTTTTCAATGGTGATATCCGAAGACATTTGTATTCATTCAGTGGTGATATCTGAGTATTCAAGTCATTCATTTACATCTTTTTCTCGGTGGCGATAGCCGAGGTCTCTTCAATAGTTATATTCGAAATCATTTGCTTCTTTTCTCGGTGGTGATATCCAAGCATTCATATGCATTCTCTTTGGTGGTGAAATTTGAAGTTATCTGCATTCACTCGATAGTGATTTTTGAGTTCTCTTTGGTGGTGATATCTATAGTCATCTCATTTTCTTAGTGGTGATATCTGAATTTTAAAAAATTAAAAAGAATTGATTGAACATTTCATTACTTCGGAGAAGCAAATTTTTAAAAATTGATTTGTAAAACCTTTGGACATAATCTCCAAATCCTCCAGGTAAGATCTGTAAGTCTTCTTGATATAATATTTTAAATTTCAAAGTTGTAGACCTTCTAATAAGAAGATCATTCATAGGTTTCAAGATTTGTTAGACTTTTGGGTATAATAATTTAAATTTTTGAAGTTGTGAAGCCTCTAATGAGAGGAGCATTCGTAGGTGTTGAGATTTATATGACCTCCACGCATAATTTTTAAATCCTCGAGATAGACTATTTTAAATTTCAAAGTTATAGAGCCTCTAATGAAAGGAGAATTCATAGAAGTTTTTTGTCTGGGACCCTCAGGTGTCCAGTAGCCACATTGAGCCTTGAATTATATGGAATCGAGTTGAGTCAGACCTTATAAGGGAGAACTTGCCCCCTTATAAGGTCTGATCTGGTTCGACTCCGGATTATTCGGGGCTAGCTACTGGACATCGGGGGGTCCAAGACCAAAAAAAATTCATAAGTGTTGAGATTTGTGAGACTTTCGAATATAATTTTTATGTTCTTTGGGCAAGATTTGTAAGTTTTTCGAACTGAATCTGTTTTAGCATTAAGATTCATAATCTTTCAGGTAGAATATTTCTAAAAAAACAAAGAAAATGTTGAAATATCAATTTTTTATAAGAATAAATTTTTAAAAAAAATTAAAAAAAGTTGAAATCTCAATTTTCCTAATTTTTTTAAGAAAAAGAATAAAATAAGACAAATAAAATAAAATAGGATAATAAAAAATGTTTAGGAAAAATTGAAATTTCAATTTTATCTAAAAAAATAAAAAATAAAATTTTTGTTTTGAATCTTCCAATGAAGGAATTATTAGAAAGTTACAATAACAATTTCTACATAAATTCTTAAGGAAAATATTATTCTCTAAATACTGCTAAAATATTAGAGTATTTAGAAAATTATCCAATATCAAATATTTTAATAAAATAACTAATAAAATTTTTTAAAATCTGATAATGGAACTTCTTCAAGAGTGTCAATAGATATCTTGAATGCTCTTGAGATGAGAAAATATTATTAAATTTCTACTAAAATATCAGAGTAATTTAAGATTAATTTTCAATATTAAATTTTCTTAAATAACAAAAAAGCCATGTCTAGCTTAATGGATGACACAAAATCAATTGATACTAATAGGTATTATGGGAGTGCTATAATCTTTACTATATGTAACCGTACTCTTGAACTTGATTTTAATTTATAGACCAAAAGATTTTTTTAAAAAATAAATCTTAATTAATTTTAAGATCTATTTAAAGATGAAATTGGTGGTCAATCACACTTAAAAAAATTGATGACAATGCTTGAATTTTACGTTTAGTGATCGAATCCTTGGATCAATTTGTTATAACAGCTTGATGACTTTACTAAGGATGTTTGAGAGTCGAGCCCATAATTGATTTTGTATTATCTAAGCCTGCATTTTTCTTTAAAAAAAGAAAAAAATCATTTTTTAATTTTCTTTTTGGTTGTTAGTATTTTAATTTTTTTTATTGATTTTAATTTCAAAATTTAATATTCTGTCATTCTTCATGCATTTACATAAAATTTTTAAATTTAAAAATATATATCTAGATTATTAAGAAATTTATTTAAAAAGATAATATATTTAAATTAAATTTTATTGCCAACAATTTAAAAGTTATTTATGTAGATATACAAATAAGAAAAATTTATAGAGTAATTTCTTATATGTCAAAAAAAAAAAAACTTTAAAAGATAATGTATTATTGCATTTGAAAAATTTAAATTTAAAAAATTATTTCTAAATTATTAAAAAATTCATTTCATTTAAAAAGATAATATACCTAAATTAGATTTTGTTGTCAACAATTTAAAAATTATCAATGTAAATATTCATATACACAAAAGTTTTGAATAATTTTTTATGTGTCAAATAGCAAAGCTATCCGTATAAGCGTTAATGTAAACAACATTTATCAAATACCTTGGAGACCTTTATATTGTGTAATATAATATTATATTTTATGTTACAGTTAGTAATAAAAATCTATATTACTACCTTTGATTATCTTTACATTTATTTCATTCTAATTAACATGTATATTTTCGTTACTTTAATTAGCACAACATGGTAATATTATTTTTTACTATTGTTTACATTTATTTTTTAATTTTATTTTAGATAATCAACGTGGAGCTGTAATAATACATTTTTCCCATCATTTACAACTGTTTTTAAATAAGATAAAATACATCAATTCTATCAGTTTTGCCAATCATTTACAAATATTATTACTAAAATAGTATACAATATATTACTTAATGTAACAAGAGGTAATAATACTACATTAGTCTTATTTATTTAAATCTGCTTGTCATCAAATTTATAATTTAATAACAAATAATTAAATGTAAGTATAATACAAAGTTATAAGTAATGCGATTAGATAAATACTTGTTTTTATTTAAAGGAATAATTTACGTTTGCATTACAAATCATTTAATTTTAAAAGTTTTAAACAATACTTTGTTTAATAGTAGCTTTTATTTTAAAATTGTCTAACGATTAAACGATTGTAAGTAAATTGTTGATTATTTTATATCATTTTTAATGTGATTATATATAATTTCATATATGCTAATACTTTTGTTGCTTAGCAATTTATAATTTATTATTAAGACAAAAGGCAAAATTGCCAGTTGGCACTGTATTTCAAGGCGAATATTGAATTTTGCCACTTTATTTATTAAAATTTTCTACTGCACTTCCATTTTTACAGATTTTTTAACCAAAGCTAATGGAAATGGAATATTCCGTAAAATATTTTTTAATATATTTAAATAATTTTGAATAAAATATAAAATATAATTTACCACAAAAAAAAAATAATTTGGATATTCCACATGTAATAAGATTTATACCTAACGAGTTATATTGGAAGGAGTTATTTTTTATGAAATTTTCTAGCAAAATAAATACTTTTTAAATATCAAATTAATTATTTTTTAAAAATAATTCTAATTGATCAAATAAAAAAGTTCTATAAAAATAAAAATAGAGAAAAAAAAGTTATTGGATTTGTTGAAAATAATGTGAATATTTTTTGACCGAGCCTATATAGGTTCTTGGACTTCTTTATCAAATCTAGTTACTTTATCTCTCTTTTTATTCTTCTTTTGTCGGATTTCTTTCCATTTGATAGATTAAAATTATTTTTTAATTATGTTAAATTTAATATTTGAAAAATATTTATTCTAGTATAAAATTTTTATAAAAAACAAATAATTATTTCTTTCAACAAGAGTATATTTTTGCTACATGTGTAATATATACATCATATTTTATGTATTATTCATAACTTTTTTTTTTGTACATAAGAGGCTAAGACTTTAAAAAAAAAAAATTGAAAAGGTAAATTGACAAATATTAAGAATTTAATCTCAATCTTATCAGAAATCACCTTTTAAAGAAGACTGATGAACCATTTAGATTAAATCTTAAGTTCATTCAAAACTTATTTTGAATATATTAATAGAATATTCTATTTTCATTGTTGACAAATGTTGTAAAAGGATCCAACTCCAAATGAAAACTAGGATGTGAAACTGTAGAGTTGTTGAAGTTCGAAAGTCTTTGCAAAGTCTTCTTTAAAATTTGAGGTAGAGTTGGTAAAGTTTGAAAGTTATCGCTAAGTCTTCTTTAAAATTTCAATATTTTACAAGTTTTTTTTTATTTGAAAATTCCAAAAATTAAATGTTATTATTAAAAATTTAAATTCATCATACTACTGTCAAAAAATTAAGACGATTTCTTAACTTTAGCGAGAATCACTCGTCTGCTTTGCAATTTTTAGTAGCATTCACATTATATTGATATATTAAATCGTAAATTCAAAAAGAAAAATATATATTAATATGATGTTCACATGAATACGTTAAGTCAAAAAGTAAACGCTGGGGGTCACACAATAATACCGTAAAATAATACAAGTAGTAATTTAAAAGTAAATATATTGGACTGCATGTATTTATACTTTATAATAATAGTCTCCAATTCAATTATATATATATATATATATATATAACACAATAATTTTCATTCAACTAATCAACTTGCAGTAGGAGAAATCAGTTACGGAGTCCTAGTTGGCAACTGCAAGCAGAGGAACAACACTCATTTTATTTATCCCTGTATGTTGAGTATTCTTATTTTAATCATTTTATGAATTTAACATACTAATTGTAGAGAATCAATAAGAAATTCAATTCTCGGGCTTTTGGATGTTTGTAATTAGTTTGTTTAAATTAATCACTTTGATTCAGTAATTTTTTTCATTTGTTTGAAATTGATTGTTTGAAATTGAAAGATGGAGGCTCATAATATTTGTTCGAGTGCAATTGTTGGTGAAGTTCTTAAAGGACAAGAGAACTATGCAAACTGGAGAGTTTGCATACGAAACTATTTGTGGGTTCGAGATCTGTGGGACGTTGTGGAAGAAACTTCAGAACCTCCCAAACAGGAAGAAATTGGTGACGAGGCTCATTTAAAGACTTGGTGGAAGAGGAATGTCAGTGCTTTACATGCTATTCAAATTTCATGTGCTCCTAACATGCTTTCTTATATAGTAGACATGACTACTGCTAATGATGCTTGGAAAACTTTGGCCCAAAAGTGCCAACAGCCGCCTATGCCAGCTGAAGATGCGATAACGCCTATGCCAGCTGAAGATGCGCTAACGCAACCAGGTTTCCTTCTCTCTCTCTCTTGTTAAAAGAAAAGAAACATTAATAAAAAGCCTAGGAAAAAGAATCAGAGATTGAGAGCTAGGAAAGAATTTATATATCCTTTCTTGGAAGTACAAGAAAAATAGTAGTTTGAGACCAATTAGTCGTTTTGAGTATGAATTGTTTAGGTGGGTGAGCAGGCGGAGCATGGTGGTTTTTATGGAAAAATTGGTGGCTTTTGGGGACTCATGGTGGTGTAGTGGTGGCAGAGAGCTGGTGGTTATTTGGGAGGGGCTGTGGGTAGTTCTCACAGACAAGTTTTCAACCAAGAACAGCTAAGGGCATTTTTGTCTTCATCATAAACATCTCATTGCATTTAAATATATAAATTACACCAAATAGTATTTAATTTTGATAAAACAGCTGGACATTAATAAGGTGAGATGCAATAATTATATATAAAATTTATAGACAGATAATGTATTAAATATAAAATTATTTTATTTTATTTTAAAACAATTCTTTGACTGATTATTTTCCACTACAAACTTTAATTTTTATGCACTAAAGCCAACCATCTCTTGATTTAGTAGAAAGAAAATGATTTATATGTTACGCAGACTTGAATTTGAGCTTAGCCCAAACAATCCTTTCCAGTACCTTTTATAGTTGTAGGGATTATAAATAATAGTATTTGGTTGATTACACAAAAATATTATTTGGTCTAAGAATAAATATTCCGTTAAATTAAAATTAGTATGAAACATATATGAAACATAAGGTACCAAACGATAGCATGATAAAAGTTATTTGTTTTGTAAAATAATTTGTTTACATTTTTTAAAGGAAAACAAGGTTTCGCAAAATATGGATGAAATTATTTAATTAGAATAAAATTTAACGATATTTCATTTTCAATCATAAGTGTTGTAAAATATAAATATATATATATATAATATATTTAAAAAATCTGTCAAATTGTTTCTTAATCTATATGCCAGGCAACGTGGGTATTCTACTTGCAATGGAGGTAGCGTTAAAAAATTAGTATCGAATTCTATTAATATTATTTATTAATAGAGTATTTTTTTTAATAACATCTTTTTGATAAAAATCAATTTAAATTGTAATATTAATTTTTTTGTGCTGCTGATGTATATAAAAAATTAAGTAGATATATAAAAATTCCAAATAACATTTCAGGATCATTCAATAAATATGTTTAAACAAAGCAATTTTGTAACACCAATTAATTTATTTTTGAAGGCAAAAAAATTAAGATTGTGTTCGGATATAAAATCAGTTTTTTTTTAAGATTACACGGAAAATATATAATTCTTGAAATTATAGGATGTGTGATTCTTTTTCTATCTAAACTCATGATATTGTAATTGGTGACAGTGGCCGTGGTTGTTGAACGCACTCATACTTTGGAATTGGTCAAGTCTATTAGCAGAAGTGACTTGGAAAACACGTTCCGTCTCTTAAAGGAGAACCCGCATTTAGTCAATGCCAAAATATTTGTGAACACCGAGCGCAAGCCCCTTCATTTTGCAGTCACGGTAGGTAACTTGGTCATGGTTGATGAACTGCTACGCTACATGTCGGAAGAAGACGTGAAAATACAAGATCACTGGGGTCGTACAGCTCTTCACTTTGCCGCCATGTCCCCTGGAAACACCATGATTGCCGAAAGCTTGATCAGAAAGAACGAGGAATTGCTTACTATTCCAGATAACGAAGTAGGAGTTATTCCACTTGTTTTGGCTTGTCAGAGAGGCCATAAAGATATAGCTCACTACCTTTATAACGAGACTACACCAGCATATCTACTCTCACCAGAAAATCAAACTCAAGCAGTGTCGTTCCTCTGTTGGTGTGTTGACAGCAAATTGTTTGGTAAATACTAATAAAACCCCTTTCTTTCTTATTTAATATATTTTGTGGAGTTGTGAAAGTTATCATAAATTTTGACATGGTTTAATTATAATCATAAAATCCTTATTTTAATTAGATATAATTTTTTTATTAATTAATCTAATTGAAATTGAAATTTGTAATTGTAATTAAACCACGTTAAAATTTTATGTTAATTCTCATGAAATTGAATTAGTGGAATGAAAACTAATATATTGTAATAGAGTATATAAGTTTTTTTTTTTTTTAATATCTTAATTTCATCAGATGTTGCTTTGGATATGCTTCGTCGTTGCCCAAGGTTAGCATTTGCTAAGACCAACAATCAATGGAATGCTGTTTTAGCATTGTCTCGTCAACATTCTGCATTCCTTAGCAGCAGTGGGCTCTCATTTTGGCAACGCATGATCTATTCTCGTGAGTATCACTTCTCTCTATTTCACTATCAAATTAGCTTTCTATCCAATTTCTTGTTAATCAAGATAATCCTTTTTAAAAAAATAAAAATAAAAGTAAAAAAAAAATGCTCAAAAAGTCTTCTAACTTTACTAAAACATAGAAATGAGTTTTTAATATTTTATCATATGAAATTAAAGTTATTAACTTTTATTTTATTATAATTAGTATCTAAAATATTTAATTAATTGTTAACTTTTTTAGTTAGATGATTCAATTTCTAGAAAGTGCTTCTTTAGATTTATTTGAATGTACTAAATGATAAATATTTGAGAAAAAGTTATTTTATAAATTTCATCAATTGGACATTATTCATTGATTTTAAGATTTATTAAATATAATTACAATTAAATAAAAATTTATAATCTTAATTTCCTATAATAAAAGATCTAGAGCTTATTGATATTTTGAAAACAGTTTAAGAGTTCACTTGATTATCAAGCGTTTTTTTAAAACCACTTAATTGAAGAGTTTAAAATTTAAGTGTTGAAAATGATAAGTAGCCTCTAGCTTCTTAATGTATTAAGTCAAATTTATTTAAGGAAAATATATTATCTAATTGCATTAATTTCATATTTTTACTTATAACAATTTATTCTTTTCCTTTTTTATTTTTACCGATTGAAAATAATTATAAAATAATATCTGGTTCTTATAAAGGATTAATAAAAATTTTACTTAGCATTTTATTTTGGGTTAAATATAAAAATAGCCACTTTACTATATACTTTTTTATCAATTTCGTACTTAAAAAAATAGAATTATCAATTTAATATTCGAACTTTCATTCTGACATCTATTTTAGTATCTTAGACTAATACTGTTAATTAACTAGCTGACATGGCATGAATATCCAATAAGATATTAACATGTATTAAAAAATTTAGTTAGTGCCACTTTATCAATTACCATGTTAGCATTAAAAAAAATTTCTAAAAAATCTTTTCAAAAATCTAAAATATTTTTAAAACTTATAAAATATTAAAAAAAAAATTTCTTTTGAAATTATAAAATTTAAAAAATTATTAAAACATAAAATATTCAAAATTTCTCAAAATTTCAATAAAACATCGAATTTTTTTTGCAAAATAAAAAAAAAAGAAATTTTAATCAAAATAATTTTTTTAAATTCAAAAAAAGATTCACAAAAACTTATAAATTTTTTTTAAAAAAATCTAAAATTTTTTGAAAAAAAAAAAGAAAACTACAAAAATCTAAAAGTTTCTAAAAACTTGAAAATTTTTAAAAAATTTCTTAAATTTTTTCAAAAATTCTAAAAATTTAAAATTAATTTAAAAAATTAAAAATTTAACAAAAATAAAAAATGAAAAATTCATAAAATATATAAAATTTTCAAATTGTAAGATTCAAAAAAATTCATAAAATTAAAAAATCACAATTTTTAAAAATTTTTAAATTTTCATTGAAAATTGTATTTTTTTTATTTTCAATTATTTAAGTTTACTGAATCTGTTTGAATTTTAAAAATATTTTATTTATTAAAATTTTTATTTTTATCAATTTTTGTAAAATTTTTTTTATTTTTTTAGATCAAAATTTTAAATTTTTAACTTTTAAAATCTTTTTAAAATTTTTTTAGAAAATTTTTTTAATATTGATATGGTAATTGATTATGTAACTTTGACTATATTTTGTGACATGTGTTAGTATCTTATTAGATGCTCATGTCGCATCAACAAATTAATTAACAATATTAGTCTTAGGTATTAAAATGGATGACAAAATGAAAGTTGAAGTAATAAAATGAAACATACCAAAAGACTTTTATATAATAAATTTAGTACTTAATTTTACGAAACTAAAAATTCATTACTTAATTTTCAATGATGAATTTGTTCAATTTATTTCTAAAGTAGATATGGGACAAATAAAAAACATGAATGTTCTTTTCCTATAATTAACATTTTTTGGGTTAAATCCTATTTAACAATAATCTTATAAAGAACTATGGATATTATAGGATATTGTAGGTACAAACTGAATCCAAACCTGAAAACTCACCCAAAATTATTCAAATTGGACTAGGGGTGCAATCGATCGAGTTTGAATTAATACAGTATTAAGCTGGAGCTCGAGCTCGATTCGAAATTTGAGACTCAACTAGGTTCGAACTAGATCAAATTTTATTTTTTTAGCTCAAGCTCGACTCGAGATAGAAATTAAGTTACTCGAGCTTATTCGATTAGACTCGATTAACATATAAAAATAAGCTCGATTCTTATATTCGACAAAAGCTTGATTATTTGTGCTCGAACTCGAGTTTGAGATATTTTATTAATTAAAATAAAAAAAAATATTAAATATAAAAGCTCAATTATGCTCACAAGATACTTGAGCTAGTTATTAAAATGCTTAAACTTGGCTCGATCAGTAAGTTGAGCTACTCGAGCTCAAGCTCGACTCGATAATAATCGAGTCGAATTTGAGTTTTATTCAAATCAAACCCGAGTAGCTTGCGAGTATTAATGTATCATTTACACCTATAAACTGGACCAAATCCTAATTGACCAAAAAGTCAAAGATCCAAATTTGAGTAAATTTAAATCTAAAATGACTTATATTTGAGATAATATAAAATTTGAAAGAATCCAAACTAAAACATTCCAAACTCAAAATAATGTATATTTCACATTGATATGATTATATAGACACCTAATTTTGTTCAGGTTAATTTGAGTTTGTTGAATTTTTAGGCTTGATCTTAACGTTTTGATTTGGACTAACCTTAAGCATTTTAATAAGAATGAGTTCATTTGGACTTGTTTCAAATTAATCATTTTTTGACCATTTTGTATAGTTTAAAGTCCAATTCAATTCAATTTTGGATTAATTTAAGTTCAATCACTTGGGCTTGAAAGGTCCAATAAAAGCCCAAGGCTCAATTATGAGTCCAAATTCAACTTTAAAGCCCAAATTTATTTTATTAGAATCTATTACATTAATAAAATTGAATTAATAAAGAAAAACAAAAAAAGCATAAAAAGAAAGAGAAGGCCAAATGGTAGCCTCTGCCTTACGTTTTTTCTCCCTAATTTTCATGCCTATTTTTAGCTTTTTGGTTTTCACCACCCATTTTCTCTATTAACTTCTAGCATACATTAATGAAATGCCTAATATCCCAAAATACAAGTTACACCTCCTAAAATGCAACAATGCCATTGCTGTAACATGTAATAGTTCAAAAGAAATTGAATTCACATATCCTTCGATCGGAACTTTGATTTTATAAAAAAATCCAACAATTCATAGCTATAGGGGGAATTCAAAAAGGAAAATTCACATAAGGGGGGAAGCAAAAATTTTCAATCCTTATTCTTTTTACCTTGAGCCTCTTAACCACAAAAACATTTGCCAAAATCCTTTTTAGAACAGCTCTAACTCCACCAAGAATAGCTCATATTTTCCATCTCTTACCACCATAGCACTATTTAAAGCCCCTTCACACTGACAAACCTTTAAACCAACACAAACTCAAAGCTATTACCCCTTTACTTGTTAGAAAAATAAATAAGAGAAGAGAAATAATAGAAAAGAATTTTGGCTTTAAGGCATGAAGAACATTTTCTTAAAGGCAATTATGCTTTTAGGATACAACAAATCTTCAAACTCTCGAATTAGAAGTAGTAAAAAATAGTTATGTGCTAAAGTATTTATTTATAATGAATGAACAGACATAAACTTTTATTAAGATGTTTATGACCTTTTGTAAAATCATGACCTTTATGAATAATAATCTATTTATATTCAAATAGTTATGACCATTTATCATATAATAATTATTTTTGTTCATACATAATTATTTAAAATATGAATAAAATTAGTACAAAAATTAATTTTATTCATCAATAATTCAATATTTCTATCCAATGTGAGATGTACCACATTCTAAACTACCAACAATCCCTCACTAATTTGAAATGTTAGTGCTTACTCTTTAACTTTTCACACAAATAAATATTATAAATACAAGAAGATATCTCTCGATTTAAACATTCAATTAACGTATATATCTTAAAATTTTAATGAAGTTGATGGTATTCTCAGATTAAACCTCAACTTCTAGTGTTAGAATTGAATATATAACACACATAATACTTATTTATTCTTTGTCAGAGGATTTATAACTGCTTTTAGTACTATTATGACCATATGCTTATCCTATTCATAAATATTTACAAGAAAGACCTCAATTTTTCTTGTTGAAGCAACATCACTTCTATGTTTATATAAGTAGAGTTTTCATTATATCTTCATTGCTTTGGACATTTAAAACTCCATTAAAAGTATAAAAACTCATCCTCCCCACGTAATGGATCACACTAGTTTCTAAAATTTGAATGAATTTTACTAGTGCTTAATAGACATATGATAATAACTTGTTTTTACCCAAAAACTTTGTAATTAGAGGTTATTAATTCAAAGTTAGGTTTTCACTATTGGTGTCTAATAGTAAGGGTTTAAATCCATTCTACTTGTAGTACTACTAACAAAATATCTTGAAATTCAATTTTCTTTTATGTTAATTACCCCTACTTGAAATTGAATCTCTAATATAATCACTTTAGGCTAATATGTCCTAACTTTTTATTTTGTATATCATTTATATGCTTCAGATATTGTTGCCTTATTCTTATCATTTTAAGAAATAGTTGGTTTTGGTTGTGGCCACAACTCTATATTTATTAATTTCAACCATTCTATTTTCATACTTTTATATATTTTTAATACCCTTATACTCCTAGTACAATTGGATAAACTCAATGAATAAACTAAATGATTTTAATCCTTTTAAAATTTTTAAAAACCTTTTTATGACTTTAATAAGTGTCTAAACTTATTAGCTTGTATAATTTGCTTATAAAATTATACTAAAATCTTACAACACTATGGTGGCAATATTTATTTCTTTTGATTCTTATCACCCCCAACACGTGCAAGTA